TGCCGTCCCTAATCTCTGCCCTCACCGCCCTGACCCAACCCCCCATTACCACCCTTTCTCCAGTGTTACCTCCTCCCGAAAACTCCCGGCCCCTTCTATCTCGTTGCCCCCTCCTCTCCCGTCTGGTTTGCTGTCCCAACCCTCCACCCACGTTATTACGACGCAGCCCCCTGCCCCTATCCTCCCGACCCCTCCCCCGGTGACCTCCGACCCATCCATGGCCAATGACCTGTCTAGCTCGATCTCCGCCCGCTTCTCTGCTGTTACCTCCCTGGTTAATTCCGCGATCCCTGTGCCGCCTCCCTCTGATTTACCTCCTCCTCCTCCCCCCGAACCTCCGACCCCTCCCTCGTCTCCCGCTAACATCCCCGAGCCTTCCGATCCAATCTCTGCCCTTGCTCATGTCCTAAATACCCACCTCTCACGCCCAACCCAACCGGCCCCCATGACAGCCCCTTCCACGGCATTGGTCCCTCATGTCCCTCCCGCCAGCCCTAGTTACCCAATCATGGTGGTTGGGTCCGAGGTGTCAGTGACATCGGACCAGCCCTACGCGATGGGCGCCTCCCCACAGGCCTCAGGTTTCCACCCAACTACCTCTCCTATCACCGGCCTCCCAATCGTCCCCACCACAGCTACCCCTGAGACCACTCTACACCGCGGCCCGGTGGTACCCGAGGAGGTCGTTGTGGTGGACCAGGGCTCACCCCGCCTAGGGGGGAACAGACTCCCCCAGCGGTGCTCTATCCCCCAGGGGTATACCCAGAATAACCATGGTGCGGATGGTGCACCACCTATGTATGTTACCTTTAACCCTTCCCAAGCTGCTACCCTTGTGACTTCACTCCCTGATCCTGAGAAGCACCCAATGCCCTTCTTCCGCAGGATGGATCAGATCCGCAAAACATACTCCGCTGCTTGGCGGGATCTTATTAGTCTATGTGAAATAAAGGCTGGAGATGCATACTGGCCAATCATGGAACGGAGCTTTAGCGATGCTCCACTTACTTCTGATACTGATTTTCGTTCTGGTGAAGTTTTCTGTGAACAGCTTCGAGCCTGGGCGCAGGATAAACTAGCTGATCAGGCTACTTGCATAAATGATATTCTTCAGGATAAACTTGAGACCGTTGAAAAGTACCACTCTAGGTTGACTCAGACTTTTTCAGATTTGGGGTTCAGCACCTATAACAAAGCACACACTCAGATGCTATCTGCAGCGTTTGTGGCAGGCCTCAAGGAACATATTCGTAAGGGGTTAATCCTAGCTCGCCCTGAGTATAGAATTATTCCTCTGGACACTCTCTTGTTGGTAGCCAAGGGTTTGGAAACAGTTTTACAACCCACACCACGTAGAGCAAATCCTTTGATGTACACTACCTCCACTCCTATCACAGGTTCTAACCAAGCACCTCAGTTACCCCTCCAACAGTACCACCAACCACCCCAGACACTGCCTGCACCACTTCCTTTTCCCAGAGACCGAACAATCACAACAATCAGGACCTGTTTTAATTGTAACCAACCCGGACACTTTAGAAGAGATTGCCCACAGCCTAGGGTGTTCCGTAAGCAGACTTCCCGGTACCCTGGCCCCCATGCCACCAGCTATAACTTCCCTTCCACTGGTTATCTCTCTGCCCTACCCCTTCCACAGTTGCCCCAACTTCCTCCTCCTCCACCCCCTCCGCCTCCTGAGTACACCCACGCCCGGCCGCCCACATCAGATGCTCGTGCTTACTCTTCGCCCTCTGGTGAAGGGTATGACAACGATGATTTCCAAGACAGTCTGCCACAGCCCCGCCATGCTGTCCGTCCATCTCGCCCACCCATGCATTCTGCTAACCCCCCTTCCACTTCCCGCCGGTACCAGGGACCAGACCAGGCCCATTTAGATTTATTACAATAGGTAACCGGCAAGCCTGTGTCAGCAACCCCTGCCATGGCAGTGTCTGCGGGGGATGGGGGAGGGCCTTTAGCTACTGTAGTCCTCCCCGTGGAGGGCCACCCAACCACCTTTCTAGTTGACACAGGTGCAGCCCGTAGTGTTCTTAGGGAACAAGACCTGCCAGACCCTTCCTTTTTATCTGACACTGATGTCTCCTGTGTTGGGGTAGATGGTACACCTCGCAGCAACTAAACTCTTACACGTAGGATCACACATCCTCTCCCGGTTTGTTGTTTCCTCTACCTGTCCCATTAACCTCCTAGGTGCCGATGTTCTCTCTCGGCTTCAGGCTTCCATTACTTTCACTGCAGATGGCCAAGTCGAGTTGACAACCCCCCTATCACAAAAGGATACCTCTGCCCTCTGCTCCCTCCCCATCCTGCTGAACATAACTGACAACACAGGGAATGCACGGGTCACGCACACCCCCAGTGCTCTGGATCGGGTCCCCCAAGATCTTTGGTCTACCGGCCCAGATGATATTGGCCGCTTACATGTACCCCCAGTCCTGGTTCAGCTCCTGCCTGGGGCACTACCCCCCCGTAGACCACAGTATCCTCTGAAGCCAGCACAAGCTGAAGCCATCACCAAGCAAGTTGACAGCCTACTTGCCAAAGGTGCCCTCATCAAATGCACATCTCCTTGCAACACACCTCTTTTTCCTGTTAAAAAGCGAACTGTTAAAGGTCAGCCTGACCAGTACCGCATGGTGCAGGACCTTCGTGCTGTCAATGATGTCACCATAAAGGACACTGCTATTGTTCCAAATCCACATACCCTCTTGTCCCAAGTCCCACCAACTTCTACTATATTCACTGTGGTGGATTTAGCCAATGCCTTTTTCAGTGTTCCCCTTGACCCTTCCTGCCGTTTTCTTTTTGCTTTCACACATGAAGGGCAACAATACACCTGGACTGTTATGCCACAGGGTGCTCAGAACTCTCCCACACAGTTTGCTCATGCCATGTCTCTTGTTCTTGATCCCTGGCAGAAATCTCATCTGGATGTTGTTCTACTTCAATATGTTGATGACCTACTTCTCTGTGCTCCTGATTTACCCACTGCAGAGCGTGACTCTGAAGACCTCCTGTGTTTCCTCGCTGCAGCAGGTTGCAAAGCTTCAAAATCAAAACTACAATGGTGCCGGCCATCCGTGGTCTTCTTGGGACACTGCCTTTCCCATGGCACCAAACATCTGACTTCACAACGTGTGCAAGCCATCCTGCAACTCCCTCTACCTGCTACACATCAGACTCTCCATGCTTTTTTGGGTCTTATAACATACTGCAGGTCCTGGATCCCAGAGGCTTCAAAACTTATGTAACCACTCTATGACACCCTCAGGAGTGAGCCCTTCCACCTTACTGAAGAAACTATCACCTGCTTCCACAACCTGAAAAGAGCTATTGCCTCAGCACCTGCCTTGGGCCTCCCCAACTACCAACTTCCTTTCAATCTGTTTGTCTCTGAAAAGTCAGGACATGCTTCCGGAGTTCTCACTCAGAAACATGGGTCAAGACAACGCCCTATTGGTTATTTCTCCTGCATGCTTGACCCTGTTGCGAGAGGTAGCCCCTCTTGCCTCCGAGCGGTGTTTGCCGCCAGCGCTCTCCTAGACAAGACCAATGATTTTGTTCTCGGCCACCACCTAACAGTGTTGGCCCCTCATGATATTACTGCCATCCTGCAACAAACCCAACCAAAGCACCTTTCCTCCCAACGCCACCTTCGCCTACAGACTTCCTTGCTCCTACCTGACAATGTTAAGCTTCAGAGATGTCTTTCCCTGAATCCTGCCACTCTTCTGCCACTTCCCAAGGGGGGAATTGTTTACCATTGGTACAGCCTGGATATTAACCCAGAGGTTCAAGCAGACCTACAGTTACCTGTACTTACACCTCCACATGATGAACAACCAGAGGCCCTACTCCACTGCACATTGTGGTTTAGGGATGTACCAAGCCCTGATATGAACTATGAAGAAGAACTATTCCAGCTCAAAGAAATTCAAATTTCCCTGACTGATTTATTCTGGGACTCTACAGGTACAATGCTTGTCTTAGTTTGCCTCCCAGAAAATGTAACACACCTCTATCACCACTGGGATACAGCTATTCCACACATACCTCTCACCAGATCCCTCAACACCTCATGGAAAGACCTAGGCCCGATGGCCAGAACATGGAACCAAATGACTCAAACACAGCTAATTTCTGCAGGGATCAATAAAAAGACCATTGACTACTGCACTACAGGGTACCCCAGGTACCACACAGAGGCCTGTGAGGACCCACTTACCGCGGATTGTGACTTCATTGATATCCCCCATGACTGTTTTGAACAAATGAAAATGGAAACTACACACTTACCAACTGTTTATGAAGCTGCATTACTTAATCCAGATCAAACATTATTTGTGGATGGCTCAAGATTTGCTGATGAACAAGGACAATATCACATTGGATATGCAGTCACCACAGGATGTCAAGTATTACAAGCAGCTGCTCTACAACCAACCAAGTCTGCCCAAGAAGCAGAGTTAACAGCTCTGACCGTGGCTTGCAAACTGTCTGAAGGTCTACGTGTCAACATTTATACGGACTCAAGATATGCCTTGGGAGTGGCACACGACTTTGGTTTAATTTGGAAGACCAGAGGATTTCTTACAGCTACTGGTACTCCGGTGAAACATGGGGCAACTATTGCAGAACTAATGGATGCATTGGAACTTCCAGCAGAAGTGGCAGTATTGAAAGTAAAAGCCCACGGAAAATTGGATACAGAAGAAGCATGTGGAAATCACTTGGCTGATCAGGCAGCCAAAGAGGCAGCGCGGCAAGGGTGGGAAGTGGACAGAAGAGTGGCCACGGATGTATCACCTATCTACACTATGCAAACATTGCCTACTGACCTCAAGCTCCTGAAGGAACAACAAGCAGCTGCTACCCTACAGGAGAAACAAAGTTGGAAGAACAAAGGAGCTGTACTCCGTGATGATGTTTATACTATCAATCTCAAGTTCTGCCTACCCAGGAACATGTATCCAGCGGTGGTCCAATGGGCCCATGGGCCAGCCCACCTGTCAAAACTCCTGATGAACTCACTGATTGACAAGTATTTTGAAGCACCAGGCATCACTACTTTAACACAGAATTATTGTAAATCCTGTACTATATGTGCTAAATGCAATCCTGGGAAAGTTATAAAGACTGCACCTAACCACCTAGCTAAGCCACAATATCCCTTTCAGAGGATTCAGATTGATCACATCCAGATGCCAAAAAGCGGACGTTATGAATATGCATTGGTTATAGTGGACATGTTTTCAGGATGGCCAGAGGCCTTCCCAGTGACCAATCTCACCGCAAGAACTACGGCCAAGTACCTTCTGACGGAAATTGTTTGCCGCTATGGAGTTCCAGAAGTGATTGAAAGTGACCAGGGAACCTCCTTTACTGCCTCGCTAACACGGGAAGTCTGGTCAGCACTGGGGGTGACCCTCGCATTCCATACACCATATCACCCACAGAGTAGTGGCAAGGTAGAGCGCATGAATGGCACTTTGAAAGCCAGAATGCTTAAAATGTCACAAGAAACTAACATGCCCTGGCCCGAGAGTCTCCCATTAGCATTGTTTAGTGTAAGGTACACTCCTAGAGGAAAATACAGCCTGTCACCTTATGAGATTCTGTTTGGTACAGCACCCAGGTTAGGTTGTTACTTCCCCCAACAGCTTCAGATCCAGTCAGATGCTATGGTAGATTATGTGACAGCCCTCTCACATGCCTTGACCAAGATACATGCCCAAGTGTTTTCTTCTATTCCTGATCCTGAGTCGAATACAGGTACACACAAGCTGCTTCCGGGTGACTGGGTTATGGTTAAGAAGTTTCTCAGAAAGCACACCCTAGAACCGAGATTTGATGGTCCTTACCAAGTGCTCCTGATTACAGCAACATCAGTTAAACTAGCTGGGAAGAGTTCTTGGATACACGCTTCACATTGCAAAAAAGTTCCTGCTCCAGAAGAGACTGATCCTGTTGAAAAATGAATTTATTATGTGTCTTGTGTTTTCTTATGCTACTACATCTTGCCTGGGCCCAACAAGTGGCCATAACCAAAGATAATCACGTTTACACTTTTTGGTACAATTCTTCTAATACTGATGTGGCTACATACACCTTTGATTATTGTGACATAGTCACTTGTACATTTCCGCAGACACAAAATGCAGCTATATATAAGGACATACCTAACAAAAAGGATCCATACATTTGTGTGACTGGAGGAGTTTGGGGTCACCATTGTAGTTCATGGAAAGCTGCCGGGTGGAACACAGGTAGACCATGGGGTTACAGACCTCAAGTAGCATTAGACAAACTTGACAAAGATGGGAAACCCTTACTCTCTAGAATGACCCTGAGTAAACCCATAGGGTCAACTCCCATTAAACTCACCCTGAATATAGAACACCCTAGCCCAAGGGATGCAGGGGAGTATGTGATGGGAATGTACTGGAAGGGAGGCGGATCACATAACGCATTAGGGACCTTTTACCTGCAAGATATGCTAAATTCTTCTGACTGGGTGGGAACCACACATATGGTCATTAACCCATTGAAACCACATATCAAGACCCTACATGACATGGTGGCCATAGCTAACCCCACTTTTGAAGATACCATGGCAGTGGAAACGGGGTTTTCAGACACTAATGTGGCTAGAATGGATGAGGTACAACGCTAACTCACACAATAAGACTAATTGTTATGTATGTGGAGGTGCCAGACCCCATCTGGGCACAGTACCTCTGAGCTTACCCCCCGAAATAGAATCATGTGTACTGAGTTTGTATGCACAATCCATCACTAACTCCTCAACATGTGAATCCTGGAAGAAGGTTTACCCAATCACCCATGGACATGTGAAACCACCTGATGGAGTCACCATCTACCCAGGTAATTACACATGCTATTCAATACCTAAGAACACTGGTTTGTATCTGGGCAAATTCCCATCAGGATACTGCTCAACTTACCATAGTCCACCTGTATCACTGCTAATGAATCACACAAAGACAATCGGTGATATCTATTGGTTATGTGGTGACAAACAATTGAGGTCCCAATTAGTTGGACAATGGTGGGGGGAGTGTGCCCTAACCAAAGTCATAATGCCTATCCACATTATTCCAGATGGTAGTCATAACACCTTAAATCTTACACATATATACTCTAGGACCAAACGAGAGGCTCCTATCCGAGGGAGCTTCGACCCCCATGTATATATTGATGCCATAGGTGTGCCTAGGGGGGTGCCCAACGAATTCAAAGCAAGAGATGAAGTAGCTGCAGGATTTGAATCCCTAATTCCAATGATAACTGCTAACAAAAATGTCAATTGGATCAACTATATCTATTATAATCAGCAGCGCTTTGTCAATTATACAAGGGATGCCCTACAGGGCCTAGCAGAACAGTTACAGGCCACAACCCAAATGACATTTCAGAACAGAATGGCCCTAGATATGATTTTAGCTGAGAAAGGGGGGGTATGTAAAATCCTCCCTGAAACCATGACATGTTGCACATACATTCCAGACAACACTGGGCCCAATGGTAAGGTGACTATGGCCATAGAGAAGCTAGATAGTCTTGCAGACGAATTAAAGAAGAATTCGGGAGCCACTGACATATGGGACAAATGGTTTGGGTGGATGAATGGCTGGCAAAAGACCCTCTTCCAGGTGGGGACAGCTGTTCTTATAGTGTTCATTATCTTCTTGTTTTTAGCCTGTTGCATACTCCCCTGCATGCAGAAATATCTGCAGAAAGCAGTGGATAAGACTGTAGATAACGTGACCCCTACCTTCCTACACCAAGATATCACAGACCTCGAAGATGACACCCCACATACACCCCTACAAACACATCAGTTTAAACAGACAACTGCCTTCCTATAGGGATAGAGTAGGGAAAGAGTCTGTCTTGACAGGTGAGTCTCACGTGTGGAGATGTAGTGGGCTAGCCACTGCGGGATACCCGCGGAGTGAAGCGTTCGATGCTTGTCAAGACAGATAGGTTGCGGGCAACTAGGGACATATTAGGGACAGCGGCAGTTGTTATGGTAAATAGCCATTTTAGGGGGGACTGTTGTGGAAATAAGGTCTGCACATATTTCCTAGATAGAGAAAATGTCTATTTACTCATTTCATGATATATATATCACGTAAAGCTAAACACACACATTTTAATCAAGATGGCTGCTAGAAGCTTCTAATCCCTCCTTCCCCCCTCCCTTCCCCTCCTAACGTCGACTAACTACCTCGTGCATCAAGATGGCGCCGGGAAACCGTGGGAGACCCTCATGGCCCCGGTGACATCACCTTCAGTAGGCAGAGCATTAGAGCAAACACTTAACACCTAACCAATTATTGATGTATTATTCCATGTTATCTCTGACAATGCATATGATGTAATTTTGCTTTAAAAGGGACTTGCCGTCCCCTCTGAATAAACATTCCTCAAGTTATTCAACAACCTGGAACCTGTGTCTGGTGTGAATTACTTCAGGGAGCGTGCACGCATTATTTCATTGATTTGGCCAGGGGCAGATACACAAAGAAATAATCAATGCTTTAATTGATTTTTCCACTTCATTTACATTTGCACGAGCAGAAATCATTTTTAAAGGCACTTCCGCATCATTATCACGCCGGACTTACCTTTCTCCTATTGTTTCCTCTTCCTCTCAGAATC